GGGCGGCGAGTTGCGGGGAGACGGTTCCGTGCCGCTTCATCCCACTGAATCCGTTCAGCTGATGAATCGCATAGCTTCGAGATGGAGAAGACCCTTTAGGGGACGGGAGCTTCCCTCCCCTGCCAGTGCGGGACCCTTCCCTCCAGCGTGCGGTCGTGAGCGTTATGTAAAAGCCCCGCTGCTCACTTTCTGAGAGCGGGAGAGGCGACCGAAGACAACCTGGACCTCTGTAATCTGACGCGCTCCAGAGCTAGGTAACACCAAGTCCGTGTTTAACAGACCTGGCCTCATTAGCTTTCTGCTGCATAATACATTATCTCCACTTAAGATCACCACCTCGGCAGTCCAAAAACACTTAACCACCTGGCCTCATGGATAGTTTCTTTCTCTTCTTCCCTTCCCCTTGTTTATCCACACGTTTTTGTGTTTTGGTGTGGGGTTCTTCTGATGGTAGCGTAGTTTGGGGTCTTTTTTTGCTACAAACCACTCTAAAATCCTTTAGCCCTAGCTGGGCTGTAATCACAGCTACTTCGGTGAACGCTGCATTCACCAGCCCTGCATCCGGGAGCGCTGGTGGAAACAAAAGCACGAAGAGAAGAAACAGATTTCCTGCCTAGGCTGGTGTAGTCTTGCAGTGAGAGTTACCGATGCTGAAAGTTTTGTGAGAAACTTCTGGTGAAGTTCTGAGCAAGAGAAAAGCCTCTTCCTGCCGCTCCTGGGCAAAACAATCAAAACGCTAAATAAAAAGAGCGAGTCTTCTCCTCGTGCAAATCACAGTCACTGATCTTCCATCTGACAGTTTAGCAGCTCAGCATCAGCACCCAGCCTTGGACCTAGACGCTGTACCTGCTAAACACCCCCAAAACGAAAGGCAGTCCGTAAGCTAACCAGGCTGTTTTCCAGCCCTTCAGGAAACTCGGCTACAGCCTTTGATTCAACATCCTCTTACGGCAGTGAATTCCACGCCTGGATGATGGGCTGCACAGAGCTGACTGCGAAGTATTCGGAGAGCTCTGCATTCAGCGCGCTTGCAACCGCCTGGCAGAAATAGCTGCGTGAGCTAGCGCTCGCCCGCCTCTGGTGCAGCGTTATATCCCCCTGTACTAGTTCAAACGCCAATACGTACGCTCAGGAGTGTGATGAGAACGCAGATCCGACAACCGGAGGCCTGAGTTCAAGGTGCTGTTCTGCCCTTGGTTTCCTGCATGATTGCAGGCAAGCCCATACGTTCTGCTACTATGTCTGAAATACAGGACTAAAAGCGCTTCCTTTGCTTGTCGCAGCCGCTTAGGCTGTTTGTTCCTGAGGGCTGTCTTAGCGCAGCAGAACCCAAATCCTCACTGGAAGCTGTGGGTACACCAGTGGCAGAAAAAAAAAATAGCACCCTTTGTTTTTACATTACAGGGTAGCGAAAGGGCAAACTGGGATGTTGCTTCCTCCCCTCCTCATTCTGAATGGCTCTGAACTCTGTCATTTTTTATTCCAATCTAACTAACATTACTGACAAGCAATCGTGCTGGAAGGTAGGTATTTTTCTAAGAAAAGTGGACTATTAGCCATAGGGTCACTGAAAATCTTTTTAAGGTACGTAGACTAATGAGCAGTAGAACTAGGGCTTGCAAAGAGGTCGTGTGTCACACATTATAGTGCTAAGTAGCTTGAATTAAATGTTGAGGAATA